ACGGTTCACTATATGCTTGGTTTCGGCTCTAACGAAAAAAAAGACTCGAATTGTCCTTGATGTCGGTGCCCCCTTGGGCTGCCAAACCCTCGATCCTTACCCATTACAGGTTTCAAGCGGAACGAGTTCAATTCGAGGGGATTCACTGTCTTATACCCATACGAGGAATAAATTCCTACGAAGGTATAAAGTATGTATCCCATGGGTTATTTGCTAAAACTCATACGAAGAATAAATTCTTACGAGAGTAAAGCATTCACCCCGACTAACTTGGATCGAAGCTCGTGTCTAGAGCTCATGTTATGCAAATGCACGTGATGTGTGTGAGGAGGAACGTACCTACCTTTGACTCAAAACAGAAAAGAAAAGAAAAAACGACAAAAATTTGGACAGAACTGAAAGCAAAAAGATAAATGTTAGTATGATAATTAAAAATGAAGCAATTAAAAATTTCAATAAACGGATCATAAGTTAACTATGTACTCGAACTTATAATTTCCACTAAGACGACAATGTGTAAGCGACCTACAGCTTGACTCTCTAAAAAGATGTCCCCAGCAGAGTCGCCAAGCTGTAATAACCATTTTTTATAAAACAATTATATATTATTTTAAAAACGATTATGACTTTAAATTAGAAAATTGGTGATTTGAAATTAATTTGAATTAAATTGAACAGAGTCGCCATCAACCTTTGGGTTAGGTAAGTCGAATACCTAAAGACGTCTTTTAAACAATTTTAAGAAAAATCATTTTTAAGACAAAAATAGTCTGCATTTACCAAAGATTCAATTAAAATGGATTCGGGAGTCGGTTACGTGTGGGGAAGGCTATACACCCCCACAACGCCCAAAATTGGTATTGTGTCGCTTACACATCGTCATAAATGGTGGAAGTTACAAATCGAATATAAAGTTAATTTATTATCCATTTATTGAGATTTATTTAATTTGCCTCGAATTATTTAAAGAAAATCCTTTAACTCAATCAGAAATCTTGAAATTTGCAATCCTCCGTCGGGAAAGCTATTTCAACCATTTCTCATTCGTAAAAGAATATTCTACCATTGATTATGTAAAAAAATTGCGAATCAAATATAACTAAAAGCGATGTTTACATACGAGTAAATTGATTAACTAAAAACGTGAATTGAATACAAATTAAAAAAATTTGAAATTTACATTCACATAAAATAAAATAAATTGTCACTTAAAATAACACACATTGCATCGTTTGAACAAATTAATTAGCAAAATATACTCGACTTATTTCAAGTTTCTATGTCGTTAAAATGCCGTACCGGATCACACCACTTCGATCAAGTGGTACTTTCCACGCCCATTCTACGCATACGTGTTCTTGAAAATATAATCGAATATTTCATACATAGATAAAAATATAATGAAAATAAATGTAATTGGAAATACAAAATAAAATATTCACATTACTAAAAACATATTTACATAATACAAATAACCGAATAACAAGTACAATAAAATCATACCTAAATGAAAAATAAAATATTACAGATCTAAACACAAATATAAATAATCACATTTGATTTTAAGGTACCAAAATAAAAATAATAAAAACCTAAAGGAATAAATAACAAATAAAACAAATAATCCAGGGCCAAGAACAAAATATTAAACAGTATGCAAATCATACACAAATAAGATTAGGGACCAAGATGAAAATAATAGAAACTTAAAAAGCTAAACAATAATTATAAATAAAGAAGAGCCCAGATAGCAAACATTAAATAATACATGAACCAGAAATATAAATAACCCATAAATAATACTTAGGACTAGATTGCATTAAAATATAAACATGAAGGCCGAATCATAATTAAACCAAAAGTAAAACAATGACTAAGATAATAGACTTATAATTATCATAGCCAAATTTGAATATCAAAGAAAATACACAACACCTAAGATTAGTGACTAAAATATAATATTTATAAATGTCAGAGATAAATTCGAAACTCAGCCAAAATACATAACATATAAACTCAGGGGCTAAAATGAAACTATTACAAACATTGGGACCAAAGTCAAATATCCACAAAAATGACATAACATACATTAGTAGGACTAAAATATAAACAAGGAAACATAGATGCCCAAAACAAAAGAAAACAAAATAGACATTAAACCAAACATCAAACAATGACTAAAATAGAATATATACGAATATGATGACCAAATTCAAATAACAGTAAAGATAATAAAAATGCATGGGATCAGTGATTAAATTAAAATATTTGAAAATATTAAATCTAGAATCAAATATAGACAAATATGATATAAAACATGAACAGGGACTAATATATAACATTTGCAAATTTCAGGACCAAATCCGAATATCAAAGGAAAATGCCCAATAAACTGCAACAGTGACTAAAACGAAATAAATATAAATATCACAACCGAATTATAATATCAGCAAACATAATATACAAATTAATGACTGAAATGCAATCATTAAAAACTAAAAGGCTCGAAATAAAACAATAATAATTTCATTAAATGACTTAAATAAAGCATTACAAAGGAGAAGGGACCTAAACTGTAGTTACCCCATGCTTGCAAAACACGGGTACCCAGACCCTTGAAACGGTGGCGTGTTGGAAACAAGTTATAAGCCTTATTTTAGGGTTTAGAAAACCCTATTCCCATTTGGTTTCATTCTCTCCCTCAGCAGTAATACCGAAGCATTCAGGGGAGAGCTCTCCCAGCTTCTTCATCGCACGAGGCGGCCCAGAGTCCCGACCACCGTGAACCGGTGGCCACGGGACGCAGAATAAACGAAAGGGTCCCCTTTGACCACAAAGTCCTCTGCTCCGGTGAAGCAATCAACGGCCGGACCGAATCCAAGGTAAGCCTCTCACTCTATCTCTATTTTCTCTCGAGCTTTCCTTTGTTTCGAGCCCCCACCCGAAGCTCTCTCTGTATTTTTCTTTTCGTTCTCCCCTCTGTTGCTCTCACCGAATCCTCTCCCCTCATAATGGTTGCCTGTTGGATTTTTTAAGGGTTCTTTCGGTGATAATGGTACCTAAGGCTTAGGGAAATTATGGGTTGTTGATTTAGGGTGATTGAATCCCGGATTTTCGGGATTATAGGGATTTTTATTTAGATTTTTTTTGTTTTTTTATTGGGTTTTTTTTCTCTGATTTGCTGATTGATTTGGTATGTTGTCACTGTTGACCGCTTGAGGGATGGGCTCTGATCGGCTCGGGAAGCTTTCGACGATGGCTCGTCGACTGGGAAACTGGAACTCACTGGCGGCAGTGGCTTGATGGCTGTTGGCTTGAACGGCTACTGGAACGTTGAAGAGGCACGACGGCTGGATTGGCTTTGGGTTGTGAAACCCTATTTACCATCGATCTGGACCGTTGAATGGGTCCAGATCGAATGGTCTATGTTGGTGCGGCGCTGGGATGTTGATACCCTAAGGTTAGGGTTTGCAATCGGGCTACTGAGTGATGGGTATGGGCTCGGGTCAATTGGGCTTCGTTTGTTGGGCATGGGTTGGCCTGCAAAACAGTGTAATATGTAAATTGTAAGTTAAATAATAATAATAATGCTAATAATAATAATTAAAATAACGATAATAATAATATATACAAAAACCCGGACAAAAACGGGTGTCTACAAATATGTCATACTTGTTCGATGATCATAATTATTAATTCGTATGTTTAATAGTTAAAAGACATATCTATTAAGAACATGAGAGGAATTTATACTCTTTAAATTTTTAATTCTAATCTCTATTAATTTAGATATATTATTTTTAAATTTTGAATTAAATACATATTAAATATCGATTTAACACCACCATTATATATAATATTGGTTTCGATCTTACAAATATATTTATGTATATTTTTGGTCTTTTACAGTTTTACCCTTAAAATAGAAGTGAAAATGAAGTACTTACCCTTGGCTTCTTCGTTTGACAAATATTTTTCATCGCGTGAAGCAATTCATATATCCTTGCATTACGCTTCCTATTTGAGGACTCTGCATAATATCATGAATAAACTTAAAAATAAATAATTCAATAGTATTAAATATTAATTTATTTAAACTCAATTTACTTTTCATTTTAAAATAAATAAATAAATAATTTACTCAAACTCGATTAATTTACGGTAGGGCTAACATGTTTTTCTGGGATTGAGTTGGCTACGTGAAGAAGAATAATGAAATTTTAATCAAGATGACATTTATTTATTATAATATTCGTCTTATAAATATTCGTATTGGATTTAGATACCCAATTTAAGTTCGTGGATAAATTACTCACAATGCTCGACTCTGATTTACAATTGTCGATAGTATTTCAGTAATTTTAATCAATTTTTGTGACTCATTTGTTGATACAAGCATATTAATTCATATTTTTCTTTTATTTAAGTTTTTTAGTTGGGTTTTTAACATATTAATAATATGTACAATTACTTTTTATATATTATTTAATATATTAAATATAAAATTTTTATAAAAGCAGAAAAAAAATATAAACTTTCATATCAAAATCTTCTACTTTAGTAATAAAAATTAAATCTATAAAAAGAATCTATCATAAGATCTTGTAGTAAAAATGTACTCAACATGAATATTTAAAGAAGAAAAAAACTCAGAAATGCATAAATCCAAACACATGTATTAAATAGAACTGTAAAATTTAATATATATAATTACTCTTTATAAATTATTTAATATATTAATAATATGTTAAATATAAAATTTAGATAGAATCAGAGAACAATTATGTAAACTTTCATATCAATATATTTTATTTTAATAATAAAAATTAAATTTTTATATATATAAAAACCTATCATAAGATCGTATAGTAAAATGTATTCGAAGAAAAAAAAACCTCAAAATGCATAAATCCAAACACATGTAATAAATAAATATGTAAATGGAACTTTTCAAAAGGAAATAAACTCTCAATCATACTAAAGTAACTCAGCAAAATCTAAAAGCAACCTGTAAAGTAATCATTCCAAGCTTTAATGCAAGAGCTCGGACAAAAATGTATGATCGGCGTCGCGATACGAGCGGACGGCAGCTAAACGAAACACGCTAGCTTTCTGATGGAAGCAAGTTTACTTGGAAGCATCATTAGGCAACGCAGCAGATTTTGATGCACCTGATGGGTTCAGTTCATCCCATGCTTCGATCCATGTCACCATAGCATCTGCAAGCTTGTTGAAGTAGTCGTCGACCTTGCCGAGCTTCTCCTTCACCTGCTTGGCGAGTTCAGTGTAGCATTTCTGAACGCTGGTGCAATCCTTCGGGAGGTTAACCGATTGGAAGAAAGGGATCAACTCTTCTTGCCAGTAAATCCCTTTGTACTCTTTCTTAAGATTCACGAACGGGTTGCTCGCTTTGCTGTGCCAAATGTACGGCAATCCGGTCTTCACTCCCCATCCGAGGTGATCGCAAATAACCTGCATAAGAACGGACAGACGACGATTAACGGCTGGAAGTGTTAACACGGCCATAGACTAACGGTGGCGACAAAGATAAGGTACCTTAGTGCACCATCCGGCCCACATGTCGTCGTATCGGCCGATAGGCTGACCATCACCCATGAGTCCAAAGTACATTGCCGAGCCGATCAATTCACGGTTGAATGCGAGGTTCATACCACACATGGGAAAGAGAGTTCCCTTCGGTATTGACATTACGGCATCGACGTACCTGATCGGAATTAGACACACTTTAGTCTATGACTAAAAAAAGAGCATGTGACACATATGATATGGTTCGGATTACCCATATAGTATTCTAGGTATTTTAGAACCTGAACCGAGACCAAACAGAGTATTATCACAGGCCGATTCAGATTGATTCGGTTCATCATTTGGATAATTATAGTTTTGTAAACATATAAAACAAAAATCGAATAAAACCACGTACATTTAACCATTATCCAAATCATTTTTTAAAAATCCGAACAAAAACATTACGGTTCGAATAGATTTTTGATTTTTTTTTCTTGTGATCATCGACATCAATGGTTATACTGATATATTTTACCTGGTGTTCCTCTCAAGAGGCTTGACCAGCTGAGTCGGAGCATCATAATCCGGGATGTTGAGCCAGAGACCGTGAGACACAGCGGTCGGAACACCCTCCCGGAGACTGAACGGATACCCACGAACGAAATCGGCTCCAGCTCGGTACGGATCGTAGAGTGTGTTAAAGAAAAATGGAGTCGAGGGACTCAAAAGGTTGTTTATGTGCTGCTCCAATGCATTAATGTCATTTCCAGATGGATCTTTAGCAACCTGTAAAAAACAAAGCATTGAAATATCAAATCAAAATCCAATTTCGAATTTGCGTAGCATATTCAAACCCAGATCTCCAAAAACAAAACAGATTAAAATAAAAATCAATAAGTGTTGAGCTTACGAAACAATCATCGTCTATTGTATAGATGTACTTCTTCTTGGAAACCATGTATCCAAAGCACCTACAAGCAGAGTCCTTGAACGAGATACAGGAAGCTTTAGGACCCAAAATCCTGTTGATATCGTTCCTGTTGTAAAGCTCGTAATCGAATCCTTGGGGGACTTTGATGGTCTTCGAAGGATCGCCGTCTTGGACTATGATGAGATGGTAAGGCTGGAAAAAGGGTCTCCACATCTCCAAGAAATCCAAGTTTCGAATGGTGGGAATCACGATGTCGAGCTCGTCTTTCAACAGAGGAGCTGGTGAGATAGAAGCCATTGATAGTTTCTCAGAGCAAAGCAAAAACGTAGCTGAGAATAGAGAGGAAGACGAGGCGCTGTGTATGTATAAAAGAGGTGAATGATACCACACGGATTGCACGTGCGAAGAAATTGGTAAGGAAACAACTTAATTCACGCGTACACCTGTCCATAATCTGGTAGCCCGTAGACTCCGTAGGTCTGGGCCGTCCGGGTAGTATTAATTACTGGAATTTGATTTAATTTTAAATTCCGTATATGAAAGTAAACAGTTAACCATTTCGAGTCCAAATGTAATTGGTGATTATATAAGTTGAACATTAAAATTTAAGTTAAGTCTATAAAGAAAATTCTAGTGGTAAACGCCAATATAAAATTGGGACCAACGTGATTCCAATTTTCAATTTCAAATTCGCTGGGTGGGGTGGCTTTCATATAAAGTTAGGTGGATGCGAACACGTGGCACATGGAGGAGGAAGGTCGAAACAAATGGACGAGTGTTTTCCCTGGATTGATGGGGTGTCTGATGATGAGAAATCTTTTGATTTTAATTTTTCAAATCATTAAGAATGAATACATTTTGATTTTTGTACAATTAATAAGGTCAAATTGATCACCTATATGTTATTCTTTTAAAATTATAATTAATGGTAAATTATATTTTTACTTTTAATCAATTATCGTTAAAAAAGTTAATGTGATATTGATAATATTTTTAACTGTTTTTCAATGTTGATGTGATATTATCTTACGAAAATACATTTAAATTGATGTTATTTTGTTACGACATGTGATCAAAATAGAACTGAAATGTATTGATATGTATGATTTTGAAAAATTATAGTTCGACGATTAAAACATAAATTAAGTAATAGGTTAGTGGTCAAATAGATAGCTTACTCAAATAATAATTACACTTTTTTTAAAAATAAATCACTAATTTTATTCAAAATAAAAAAATCCTAAATTAAAATAAAGATTTACAATTATAAAAGTAAATTAAACACATAATTAGGATAATTTCCTATAATCATTGAAACAAAACTAGCAACTAGGCATGTAAACGAACCGAACGCACACGAACGGAGGTATGTTCATGTTCGTTCATTTAATAAATAAACGAACATAAACGAACAAATTTTTTTTGTTCATGTTCGTTTATTAAGGAATATAACTTGTTCATGTTCGTTCATTTAATAAATTAACGAACATAAACGAACACGAACATAAACGAACATAAACGTTGGAGACCCTACCTTCCATTGTTCTTTCATGAAAAATAGTCGACAATGCAAATCAACTAAATCTACAGTGATAAATAGTGTAAGAGCTGATTAACAGTGGTGAAATGTTTGAAAATATCAAATATTTCGATCGATCTTTTAAAGATATTAAATGATTCACACGACTTTAATTTAACGATATAACATTTATCTTAGTGGTCCATGATTACATATGAACAATCATTTTCCACTATGTTATTTTAATAAATTCGCCGGCTAAAAGTTTTATGACATCAATGTCTGACTTTAGTGAGGTTTGTTAATAATGGTCATTTCCGTTGGCAGAGTAGAAAATTTAACAGCATGAAGATTTCGAACGGTACAAATTGGACTACAAGGCAATAACATAGATCCGAAATCCCTTCGATGCTACATATCGTAACTGATATTATTGCTAAACCACCATTCAAAATTTTAACATACCTAAAGTCTACTCCACAACTAAATGTCACACAAGAACTATGAAAACAAAAGTTCATTGTCAAAGTGTATTTTCTACTTATTAATGGGTTCTTCCTGGAAAACTCATTACTTCCGCTATTACACTCTTTTGCAGAAATTACATAGAAACCTTTGTTTTGTTTTCTGACAAATTCTATATATTTTTCTCTTTACTGATGCTCATATACTTTCGATTGTTACCTTTATCTTCCCATCTATTTCTAGAAAAAAATATAATGTTTTCTTGAGTTTTAGATCTGAAGATATCAGCAATAACTTTACATATAAACTATTAAGTCAAATAAAACAGAGAAAGAGATGAAAGCATATCTGTAAAACTTCATATTGCACTATAATATAATTTGTTTTGAAGCTTTCAGCGATCGTCTCCACTCTCTAGTGAACACTAGGGTTTGGGAAAAAAGGGGGGAAATGAATATAGGTGTCAGGTGCCTCACGAGTTACCATATTGGATTTAATCTCCAAATAAAATTAGGTTAATTATGGAATTAGTCATCAGAATATCAGATTAATTAATATTTTTAAGATACTTTCAAATTGGTCACCAAAATTGATTTAAGAAGATTGGGTTAAACATAAATGAATGAACATAAGCGAACATAACCGAACGAACATAACCGAACGTTCACGAACGTAAATGAAAGAACGAGACCTATGTTCATGTTCGTTCATTTAATTAAACGAATACAAAATCTTGTTCATGTTCGTTCATTTAATAAATAAACACACATAAACGAACTTCCCGCCGCACGGTTCATGAACGGTTCGCTGAACGTTCAGTTCATTTACAGGCCTACTAGCAACTTAAGATCACATAAGACCATACAAGGAAAGATTAAAAACCTAACCAAGAAAATTCGAACAAAAATAAATACAAACAGATATGATCGCATCGATAAACGAACCAAAAAAGAGATCAAACTACTGAAAGATCACTGACAAATCACAAATCAGACTCAAGCGACATGAAACACTATCCACGAATGCATAACGAGTATCAAATTCCAATTCGAGGTCCAAAGCATAGAATATCAATAATATAACAGATAGCCGCTATCTTGATCAGTCATGGTAATGTCTAATCAATCTTTAGAAAAAGATAAATGAAAACAACGATCAAACAGTCGAAAAACGTGCAAAAAAATAAAAGAAAATGTGTCATAAAGACAGAAAAACGTGACAATCAGACATATTTATCAGGAAAAATGATATTAAAGAATACCGACGATTCGTAAATAACATTAAAGTTTGTGTCGTCGTCGATCAACAAAAATAAAAATAAAAAGAGATAAACAATTTACCAATGAGAGAAAATTAGAAGAAAACTAGGAGATTAAGTTGACTAAATTATATATATATAGGAGGATATAATTACACTTTTTTTTTCTAAAAATAAACTTTAATAATTTACTAAATTTTATTAAATACACACATCGTATATGAAAATATATTTATGTTTAATTTAAAAAAAATCTTATGACAATATAAATAACGTTACTTAATTTATAAATAAAAGTTAAACATCTAAAATTTAATTTAAAATCATAATTATAAAAATAATTTTAATCTAATCTCAAAAGTTTAAATTTCTAGATTTCGTTGTAGAAAATCATTTTTTTTGATGAAATTATATTTTTATCTTTAATTATTACATTTTTAATTTATAACATAATGTTTAAAATATACATTATACTTTTAAAATATTTTTTAATAGTAATTTCACACAATTGATCGCAGCAGGTACGAGAGAGTCTTCTTGCATGGGAGCATATTCTTTATCGATTTATGGGTCGCGCCTTTCTAGTAAGGATATTAGATAAAAAAAATAAAGTCCAAATGATTTTGACAGAAAAATAATGATTATATGGGTAATTTTTCGGGAAATTCGCCCCTGAGATGATGATGACTGAGTGACGTGAGCGGTCTATATTAGGAGCAGCACGAGACTGGACCACTGCGTGGGAACCAATGGAGCTCAAAGCAGATTTTCGTGACGGGGAAGTACTACCTCGATACTGCACAGAGGGACCGGATAAGATAGAGAGAGGTTTGTGAGCCACAGAAGGGTTCTTCCCAGCGCTGATCTTAGCGAGCTGTGTTGAAGGAGCTTTGCCCTTAGATGACTTTTTAGACAGAGAGGAGCTTGCTCCAGATCTTGTTACTTTAGGTGCCGGGAGGAGAGCTTCAGGCTGCGTAGGAACATCAAAGTCATCTTCGGTTGCATCATGAATCGGATTGAAACGTGAACCTGTTATAACGGCATCTTGTTGATGAGGGGTTGGGTCGTTCTGTGGCTTGGCACTCCTTCGAGGACGGAGCTCACCATCATCCATGGGCCGAAAGCAGCGTTGCTGGTTGGTTTCGGGTCTCATGGAGGGTCAAAATTGGCTCAGAGGCAGCAGGAGGCGTAGGTTAAAGAAGTGGGCAAGTTGCAGAGTTGTGTCCATATTTGAGTTGAAGCAAATGATCGGGAGGGATTCGTATTCCACGATTTGCACATGTTCGTTGATCAGAATCTTCGAGATTAGAGGTTTATTGAGATCTACTCGAGCAGCCATTCGAGTAAAACGACCGCACCTCCCACTCTGGATTTGATAATCAATGTGGATGACGCGACCAATACATTCACCGATCTCGGTTATGAGAATTTTTTTTGTACAGGGTCGTAGGCAAACCTGGTAAGCTAATCCATGCAATGATCTTGCTTGGATATGGTTGAGAGATCGAAAGGTCCGGTGACCAGGATTCAACGGTCAGATAATGCCCAAAAATGGTCCAGGATCCATCGGTGAGAACCTTAAGGAAATCGGAACGAGTGCGAAAAGATACCAGATAGTAATCATTCTCTATGTCCATCAGTTTGATTGGCTGAGAAGGTTTCCAGATGTTGTTTCGAAGGGTGGTGTACCCGATCCGTCGTTTTCAAGGAGTTGAACCACGACAGTTTGATCGACTCTTTTCCGCTAGGGTTTTGATCCGTTCAGAGAAGTTGATTGATATCATACCATCAACAAGGCCTCTCGTAACATCTCCTTCCAAAAGTTCCAAATCATCATCGTCCATGAACTCTTCTTCAGTCGGATCAGACCGACTGCCATTATTAACAAGTTTATCCTTGTAGGAAGGAAGGGGTTGTGACAGGGGAATTGGATTCAACGTCCTTCGGAGTGGTGAAAGTGACACCCTTATCAGGAGGGTCATCATTGATGCGACGGGGTTTTTTGGTGGAACGGTCATCCACAAGGCTTACGACTGTGCTGGGGTTAGAAAGAGCAGTAGGGTTTTCGTGGGAGGCATTATGACTTTTGGTTTATAAATAATTTAAGATTTTGAAGATTGATGTTTGGTCGAGTAGAGTCAATACTAATTTTCATTCCTATGTTTCAAGTCAAGTTTGAGATGGATGAGATTCTCCGATGTCAAGTGAAGATATAAAATTCTTGAGTTAAGATTAAGATTATCAAAATTCGACTTATCAGATATAATACATATTCTTAATTATAAAAGTAAATAATTTTTTTTAAAAAATAAAAAATCACATTATTGAAATCATTAATGGTTTAACAGTTTAATAATTTGATTACAATATAAAATAAAATTGTATATTAAAAATTAAAATATTTATAGTTCAATATTAAAAAACAATATACAGTCTAGAGTTTAACTAAGTATTGAACGAGTGTTGTTTATTAATATTAAAAAATTTAACTAAACTTAAAGAGAACACGTGTCAATTGGGGGGAGAATAGCCGGGTATGGACTCTGGACCGAGTAAATGTATAAAAAAACGATTTTCAATTTTCGGCATCTTCTCTTTGGCATTGTTAGCTATTGTCGTTCCCGTTTCCTGCTTCGTACGCAACGCATCCCGTTATTCCCTTTTGCGTCTTCGCTCTCTCACTCTCTCCTTTATTCGAGAGTTCACACTCATAGATCTCTCTCTCTCTCTCTCGCTTTCTCTCTCTTTTAAGCTCAAATCACCCACGAGTCAGGTACTTTTGATATTGCTTTCCCTCGTATATTTCATTCCAGTCGATCTCTGTTTGAACGTTACTGGCTTATAGCTACAGTATTTGATTGATCTGCTAATCGTCTGTAAGATCGTGCCTTTTTTGAATTCGGTTGTTGAATCTGCTTCATAATTTTCATGTCTGTAAAGGTTTTTTTTGAGCTTTCTGTTTTGAATCACTAGTTGTTTTTAGATGGAAAATACTATGTGCATGCCTTCTATTTTTTTTTTAAAAAAAGAATTTGTTTCCAGTGATGGTGTTTATTGGTTAGTTGTTTATTGCTTGAAAATAGAGGTTATAGTGTTTAATGGCTGAGTACTTATTCTGAGGACTATTTTAATTACAAATGTTTGCACAAAGATTTGTTGGATTGTGAATTAGCTTTTTTGTTAGGCAATGTGGGGCTTTTGTTGAACCCTATTCTTATATTTTAGTAATTTCAAAATATTACTTGCAATAAGTACTTTTCATCATTGTTTCTTTTCTGCTGTCATCAAACTATCCTTAGTTGAAACTTTGTTTATTGATTCCTTGAAAATTATGTGCAGACGGCCATGCAGGAAGGAAGTCTTGCCGATATTCATATTCCCAGTGCTCAAGTTGTTGGAAATGCTTTTGTGGAACAGTATTACCATATTCTTCACCAATCACCGGATCTGGTGCATAGATTTTATCAAGATTCAAGTTGTTTAAGTCGGCCTGATATGTATGGCAACATGACTAAAGTAACAACAATACAAGTAAGTTTATTTAGGAGTTAAGATAATTTCCTACATGAGCATATTGTTATCAAGAATTCAAAACTGTACGGCCTCCGTGCAGAAGATGATGCTTCTAGACTAAGTCGATAACTAGTTTCTGAGAATAATTGCTGAAAAATTGCAATAAATTTTATTGAAGAATTTCTTCAAAAGTATGGATATTTATGCCTTTTAGTTGAAGCTTTTTATGCCTTGTTTGGTGCATATGCCATATGTTAAACTTTAGTGATGGATATTTCATCAAATGTTTGTTTCTGGAGACATTTGATATGGTAAAATATTAAATTTTATAATTTGAATTGACATTTTTTATATATATAACATGGCTTTATTGACTAGTACACTGATGTTTGCTCTGGATCAGGCAATTAATGAGAAGGTACTATCACTGAATTATGAGGACTATACAGCAGAGATAAAAACTGTGGATGCTCAGGACTCTTTTGAGAAAGGGGTCATCGTGGTGGTATCTGGATGCTTAACAGGGAAAGACAATATTAGAAAGAAATTCACTCAAACCTTCTTTCTAGCTCCACAAGACAATGGCTACTTTGTCTTGAATGATGTTTTCAGGTACATTGCAGACACAGAGTTGCAAAACAATGTTCTGGTTAATGAGATCAGTGAACAAGGTTCAACATATGCCACAACACCTGAACCAGGTTTGATCTAATTCTTTCTTTTGCGTCGTGTTCATATTTTCTTTATGCTCAAATCATGGAATTGCTTTAAATTTTGCTTCCAGGGCTCCCTCATGACCATCTTTTGGACGACCCATTAATTAATCCCGAAGAGGAAGATATTAATAATGGAGCTGAAGTTTGTGATCCCTCAGATGAGGAAGAAGGATCAGTAATTGAAGAGGAGGTTGTTGAACCCCAAAATGTTGTCAGTCAGAATGAGAGTGTTGTGGCTGATGAGTCAGTTCCTGCGGTTCTACAAGATGCTCCAAAGAAATCGTATGCTTCAATTGTGAGTTAATGTTGATTCTTTTTACTCTCCATTTATGTTTTGGTGATTCTTTTGATTTATAATTGAACCTAATTGTATATTAGGTCAAAGTGATGAAAAGCAGTTCACCATCTACTCCGGTCCATACAACTACCGGAAATGTAAGGGCAGCACCTGCAGAGCAGTGGTCAACCGTTTCTGCAAAACCTGCTCCAACAACACCAACGGTAGCAGTTCCTAATAGTGATAATGCGCCTGAAAGTAGCAATGAGAATGAGGAAGGTAATTGTTAATTTCATTTATGACATGATAATAAAACAGCTGTTCTCTGTGTAGGCCCAACTCTTCTTTTTTCATGAAGTATCTGTGTCTAACCCATATCTGGGGATGGGTATAGGGATATGACCTTTTAAGATCCTCCAAATACATGAAAAACTTAAAAAACAATGAACATGTCTGTTCTGGACTCATACCCATATTTGATGCGTACATACGAATCCGTGTAACATAGATTGTTTTCTTTATCGATAAAGTTAGATCCACATCTTTTCTATTTTAATCAATTATCCAATAAGGGAGTCAAGAATCTTAACTTGATTTTGGCATGTTTTATCTTATGTCACACCGATTTTTCTCTTTGATGTGCTTGATGCATATTCTTTCTTGGTTTAAATATAAACCTAATGTGCTTTGTTACCTAAGCTGAAGGACACTCCATATATGTACGGAATTTGCCTTATAATGCAACACCTGCACAACTTGAGGAGACATTCAAAAAATTTGGGCCCATTAAGCACAATGGCATCCAAGTCAGAAGTAATAAGGTTAGCTAAGATATCAGTTTGGGGTTCTATTTCCTTTTTGACATCTCTAGTTCAAGTTCTTACTGTTTTCTGCGTTTCTTGCTTACTGCAACAGGGATTCACTTTTGGTTTTATTGAATTCACGACTCCAAGTTCAGTGCAGAGTGCACTTGAGGTATCATCTCATACTTCTCATCACTCCTGTCATAAATGTAGTGCCGTCATGATCACCATCACTTCACTCTTCCAGTCAATCACTTAGATGAAGAGCGTTTCATAATTTTAGCCTACCAAATACATATTGTATGTGTGGCAAGTATTCTAATTTATTCCTCCTAAAACTGAAATGGAAATGTACTTGTTTATTGGGTTAAGCTTTCGTCAACTGTAGTATTACCTGAAACAAGAAATAGAACACAAATCCTAGATCAATGTCTTCTAAGTGACAGTATGTTTGAATGGATTACCTGAAATGTGTGCCTTTCGATCACTTGAGAAGTATCTGATTAGATTATTTCATCTTGAACTTTCTTTAAGAGAACTATACCACTGTGTAGGTAATTTAATCAACTAGTCTAAAAGAATAAATCCACCTCGATTTGGCATCCTATGCTGCTCTGACTCTTCATTTTTTCTTGAAATATCCGTGTCCAATACATGTATTTTACACGTACTTGAGTCAGATATGGGGATCTGTCCCTTCAAGGACTCTCCAAATACATGGTAATCTTGGAAAAAGGATAAAGAAATTTCACATACCCGAGTCCAAGTAACATAGCTGGCTTCTCTTTCATTTCTTTTGTTACTTTTGGACAGTATGTAACCATAAAACATGCACCTCGTACCAATTATTGTACATTTACATCTGATATTCTCCTCAACCTCATATTAGTTCATCTTTTAGTTTGTACTTTATTTGCAGCCTTGTTGAATTAAGTTGGAAATTTGAAAGCTAAAAGCCAAATTCTATAAAAAAAAAAGCTAAAAGCAATTAAAATGTTAACGTGTATTTTGTGAATGTCATAAATATTACACTTGTGAATTCACCTGGTCCACATTTCTAAGGTCTCCTAAATCAAAGGTTTAATTACAAAAATCATCCCTTATTTTCACCCTTTCTCAGGTGTCCTTAAATTTTGTTGCTGAACTTAACTATGATATTAATCAGGGACCTCTGCTTGGTGTTTTATGTGAGCATATTTTAAATTTATGGTTGTGCTGAATGGCATTTCAGGCCTCACCGATCACAATTGGGGATCGCCAAGCTGCTGTGGAAGAAAAGAGGACAAGTACTCGAGGTAATTCGAAATTTATTTCGGAGAAATGCTTTTGACACCTGAATTTCTTCAAAAAAATTCCATTTTTTTTACTAATAATGTTGTTTTACACGAGCTGAACTCTTTAGTTCATCCAATGATGGTACTGAAATTATGTAATATGTTCTCAACGACGTTGCTATTATGCAATATGTTCTCAACCACATTGCTATTATGCAATATGTTCTCAACCACATTGCTATTATGCAATATGTTCTCAACCACATTGCTATTATGCAATATGTTCTCAAATGCGTTGCTATTATGCAATATGTTCTCAACTGTTCAGTTTGTATATAATATAGAATATATACTTGAGAAATTGCTGCTTTTTGCAGTTGTTAGCAGTGGGAGAGGAAGGTATGAATCAGGTAAAGGTGGGTTTCGGAGTGACAGTTTCCGTGGTCGAGGGAACTTCATTAATGACCGAGGAGGAGGCTATGGCAGGAATGAATTCAGAAACCAGGGTGAGTTTTCGGTTCGACCCAAAGGTCCAGGTAGACGGAGCGGAGACAGTTATCAGTGGGCTAATCAGAATGGAAGGGGTGGTCGTCAAGGTGGGCCCCCAAAACCTTGATTTTATTTGTTTTCAGACCATCAGCTGAGAAAGTGAACAGATGATTCTTCGAAAGTATAAACAAAGATTAGGAGCCAAGGATTCAAAGTTTTTTATCTTCAGAAATTTCAACTGTTCTGAACGGTTAACTATTTTAATATTTTTTTGATCAATATTTTGGCATCTTTGATGACATGCTCTCAAATATTTCCTTATTAAATACATTTATTCCCGTGAAAACATCAAACGATTATAATGCATGTAGCATAGGCGGTGTTATCTTAGCCATAAGAAGCTTAAGCTTGAATTGAAATTTGAGGCTCAAAACTTAGATTTTGAATATTCAATACTAGTTTATATATATACATGCACTTAGGTGTTCTTTCAAGAGGTTGCAGAGGCTGGACTGGCAGTGCAACAAGAGAAACAAGCTAACCATTTTTTGGGTCCACCATTTCTGGTTGTTTTAGGGGTCTGAGGCTTTGGGGTTCCCGAAGGACTCTCTGTGTTTTCTTTAGGGCATCCTAGCTTCGGTGTTTCTGGAGTTGTCTGTGCTTCATTAGCTGTTTCTGAAAGTGTCTCTGGAGTTCTAGGGGTGGAGCACTCTTGTTGGCTTTGTTTCTCTGTACTCTGAGGCGGTGATCCGTTTTCACTTGTATCTCCTATCAATCTTCATTGCAAGAAAAGAATGAATCAGCATGTTACTGTAATACGATCGGATATCTTTAATTTCTTCAATGTTGGCGCAAGGTTTCGCACCCGAAACTGAAAACCGAAGACTGGAAACATTCAGTTTTTGAGATGTGAGAGCTTACATAGGGAAGGCAAAATATTTGACACTTGAATCTGGTGGATCATAATGAACATCGCACACAGGATGGGAAAGAGAGTTCTTTATGAACATCGACCTTACGAACCTGAGATGCTTTCTCCCTTGTTGTGTCGGTTGCTTCTGCTTCTGTATCTCTGATGCAGCCCCCGTTCGAGTCTCTACTTTGCCCGGTAGTTTCAGTCGCTGTCTGATTATTACGTGGAGTGACCTGGAATAGACTGCCAATAAAACTCATGTTCCCCTTGTGGATACTAAACAATGATTCGCTGTTTAAGCCGATGACACCACGTTGAATGGCAAATTCAGCTGATGACAGATTGTTCCACGGAGTGCCTGGTGGCAACGGACTGCAAAGTGGTGAATCGTTATAAAAATAAAACTCGCCTGATTTCGACATCCAATTCAATTGTTCCGTTGTGAAACTCGGGTTCCCCATGTGAAGGCTAAACAACGATTCGTTAGAACGCATGCTCCATTCCCTTGTAGCTGCAGTTGTTCTAGCAAAGACATGAGATGCGGTGTTGGCTTCGGTAGGTTGTTCCGCAGCCAATGTTTGAGGAGTTGGTGTCGCCGGATCATCGTCACCGGTTGACGATGAATGAGAGAGGATTGTCGGCTTTTTACCCCGTCAAAACACGAAGATTTTCACTCGGAGAAGCAACTCGGTCCGTATTTGAAACACTGCTGGAATCATGATCTCCACTCATATTTCCAAATTCAACCAGAAAATTATGCTTTAATATGGAATTAAAACAAAAATCAAATCAGACTTCCAAGCTCTTATCTGTTTTCATAAGCAAAACAACAAATGAATGATGAACACGAAAGAAATTTTTGTAAAATTCCCGGATAGAATCGTTTAATAAACCATAATTTCTTGTTCATCAAATTCACTAATTAAATCGTTAACAAACCAAAAATCCCAAAAACAATTGTTGAATATATAAACTCAAAACCACATCAAGAAACAAATAGAATCAAACAATAAGAAGAACTAACAAAATCAAATGATAAGAACCAATTCAAAACGTAATTCGAAGATTTAAAAAACATGTATCCTTTCAATGAATCCCAATCAAAATTGATGATTCATTGACTAGAAATGAGCCTTCTTCCTCCGATCTCTTATTAACAGAGAAATAACGAAACTCGATAATTAAAAATAAAATAAAGATCGGAAAGCAAGAAAACTAGAGAATGCGAGAGAGAATTGGATGAGAGGTACAATTTGAATGGGTTTAGGTAATTTGTGTCTGTTTTATGTATGGTAATAACGAACTTTAGCCGCCAAAAAAAACTATTTAATTTGTACATGTTTAATACTCAGGTTAAAGTACATTATAGGTCATTAAACTATAATTAAATAATCTTTTTGGCCACTAAACTTTCAGAAGTTATACAATAATCATTCAATTTAAAAACCCACACGTGTCGCCATCGTCTACATAAACCCCGAGGGTTTTACTTTCCAGTTCCATGAAAACAGAAGGGTAGGCTGCGGAAAAGCCTCAGTTTTTTTTTCCCGTAAATTTCTTTCTCTTTTTCGGTATCTTCTTGAGCCTGCTCGTTTCACTGACTGTTCATTTTGAAAGGGTTTCTTTCAGTGTCTGTATCGCTAAAGGTGTTTCCTTTTTCAAATTTTCTTGTATTATCATATCATTGTTTTTCTAGCCCACATTAGCATGAAATGATTTGCTTTGGATTGCTTGTTTTTGGGTTGCTTAAGATCAATGAGAAATCGGAGTTTTTTTTTGGAGTGATTGAAAAAAGTTATTTTTTCTATTGGTTTTGTTATATGAATATCCATGCCGTGTTCGTGTGTTATTGTTCGTCATAATCGTGTTTAAGTTGTTTTATACTTGTACTAATTTTGATGTGTTAATAATTCTTAGGACAGAGATTTTTGAACATTTGAATGCTAGCTCTTTTAGTCAGTGTTGTGCTTGTATATTTTCTGGGTCTGATCTGTTTATATTTGTTATCTAGGTCGAAACAATGGCTTTCTTAGGTAAATTTGGGAGTATATTTAGGCAGACCACAAGTATGCAGGTCGATTCTCTGTTGTCTGCAACAAGGCCAGGGCTCTTTCAAGTATTTAGAAGCATGTCAACATCACCAAGCTCGAAGCTTTTTGTGGGAGGTCCATCGAACTTTCCTCTAGAATTCGAGTCCTTTTAAATTCCCCATTTTCTTGGGGTTTCTCATCTGTCTTGTTTTGAATTGCAGGTATTTCTTACCAAACTGATGATCAAAGTCTGAGAGAAGCTTTTAGCAAATACGGTGAAGTTATTGACGGTACGATATCCTTAATTCAACTTGCTAGTATCACGATAAACAGGATTGCAAAGTCTCAAGATGCTTAAATCTTACTGTCTACATTTTGTATGAAGTATGGCTTGAACGATGTAGGTATCATCGACGAACTAATTTAGGAAGTGACTATTTGTTTCTGACTTCGAGTTCGTCTATTTTTTTTATAAGAATTGGAGGTCTCGTTAAAACCCCCCTTCATAATTCGAGTTCATCTATGTATGGGTGCTTAACTGCTTATGCTATTGGGGCACTTACCGATGAATGATAATTATTTTCTTGTTTGAATTTGCCTGTCTGATTGCTTATGCTCTTTGGTGGACTAAAAACGGTTTCACTGTTGGTTTTCTATTTATTGATTTGTTGTTGCTGTTTTCCGGTTGACTTTGTAATACTGTTCATTTTATATTTCCTTTAGCAAAAATAATTGTGGATCGAGAGACGGGCAGGTCGAAAGGATTTGGCTTTGTCTCTTACTCTAGTACTGAGGATGCCTCCAGTGCAATACAGGCCTTGGATGGACGGGTAATGATATAAAAGTATATAGGTTTTATTTTTTTTAGGATTTACATGTTACTTGGACTTGATTGTGAGTGTTGGATATAGTTACGTGTCCATCACGAGCATGTTCGAAAATTTCTAATTTATTCCATTGTTTGGAGAGTTCTTGAAGGTCATATCCATAATGATGATTTGTAGGAATATTTTGTTGACAGGAATTTGTGTGTGAATCCTTGTTGCAGGAACTCAATGGCCGTCAAGTAAAAGTAGCCTATGCAGCTGAAAGACCTCCTCGCAACTTTGGAGGTGGAAGTTTCAATATTGGTTATGGTGGCGGATACGGTGTTGGTGGCAGCTACAGAGATGATAGTGGGAGCTATGCCAGAAACAATGATTTATCTTCTGGAAATTATGGAGGTAATATTGGATATGGTAACACTGGTGGTGGTTATGGAGGCCAAGGAAGCTATGGTGGTGGAAACAATTATGGTACTGGTGGTAGCTATGGAAGCAGTTCTGATCAATCTGGTCCAAACAATTGCGATGGTGGGAATTTCAATTTTGCTGCCGGTGAAAGCAGTGGCAATAGTTTTGCCACCAGCAGTTCAGCTGGATTCAGAGGTAACATAATGGAATTCGGTGGAGGTAATGTTGGATATGGTAACACTGGTAGTGGTTATGGAAGTCAAGGAAGTTATGGTGGTGGTAACAAGTATGGCGCTGGTGGTAGCTACGAAAGCAGCTCTGATCAATCTGGTCCAAACAAGTGCGATGGTGGGTTCAATGCTCCAGCCGGCAACATTGGCGGTGATAGTTTTGCCACCAGTGGTTCAGCTGGATTCGGAGGTAACCAAATGGGATTTGGTGGCGATAATGTTGGATATGGGAAGACTTGTGGTGTTGGTAGTGGTCATGGAGGCCAAGGAAGTTATGGTGGAGGTAACAAGTATGGCATTGGTGGTAGCTATGGAAGCAATTCTGATCAATCTGGTCTAAACAAGTACGATGGTGGGAATTTCAATGCTGCTGCTGGTGATATCGGTGGTGATAATTTTTCCACTATTGGTTCAGCCGGCTTCAGAGGTAACCAAATGGGATTCGGTGGCGGTAATGTTGGATATGGTAACACTGGTGGCGGTGGTAGTGGTTATGGAGGCCAAGGAAGTTATGGTGATGGTAACAAGGATGGCGCTGGTGGTAGCTATGGAAGCAACTCTGATCAATCTGGTCCAAACAAGTACGATGGTGGGTTCAATGCTGCCGCCGGTGGCATTGGTGGTGATAGTTTTGCCACCAATGGTTCAGCCGGATTTGGAGGTAACCATATGGGATTTGGTGGTGGGGGAAGCGGTTATGGAGGCCAAGGAAGTTATGCTGGTGGTAACAAGTATGGCACCGGTGGTAGCTACGGAAGCAATTCTAATCAATCTAGTCCAAACAAGTATGATGGTGGGAATCTCAATGCTGTTGCCGGTGACAGTTTTGCCACCAGTGGTTCAGCCGGATTTGGAAGTAAACAAATGGGATTCGGTGGTGGTAATGTTGGATATGGTAACACTGGTGGAGGTGGTAGTGGTTATGGGGGCCTAGGAAGTTATGGTGGTGGTAACAAGTATGGCACTGGCGGTAGCTATGGAAGCAATTCTGATCAATCTGGTCCAAACAAGTACGATGGTGGGAATCTCAATGCTGTCACCGGCGAAATCGGTGGTGGTAGTTTTGCCACCAGCGGTTCAGCCGGATTCGGAGGTAAACGAATGGGATTCGGCGGCAGTAATGTTGGATATGGTAACACTGGTGGCAGTGGTAGTGGTTATGGAGGCCTAGGAAGTTATGGTGGTGGTAACAAGTATGGAACTGGTGGTAGCTACGGAAGCAATTCTGGTCAATCTGGTCCAAACAAGTTTGATGGTGGGAATCTCAATGCTGTCGCCAGTGACAGTTTTGCCACCAGTGGTTCAGCCGGATTTGGAGGTAAACGAATGGGAGTCGGTGGTGGTAATGTTGGATATGGTAACACTGGTGGAAGTGGTAGTAGTTATGGAGGCCTAGGAAGTTATGGCGGTAGTAGCTACGGAAGCAATTCTGATCAATCTGGTCCAAACAAGTACGATGGTAGGAATCTCAATGCTGCTGCCGGTGGCATCAGCGGTGATAGTTTTGCCACCGGTGGTTCAGCCGGATTCAGTGGCAGTGACGATGGGTTCAAAGTCGAAACAGGAGGAGATTATGTGGGGAATGGTGCACGCACTGAGAACACAAGAGATGAAGAGTATGAAACCGTCGACTTTGCCAAAAGGGCTTGAACTTTGAGATCCACCTTTGTTCTTTAATGGTGGATTTGTTTTGATCTTTGTTCTCTGGTCCTACTACTATTGTGCTGAGATCTTTTAGTCCACTGCCGTTACATGTTTTTACTGTATAGTTAACATTATTATATTTTCTGTTGGCATTAGCAGTCTGACAGAAGACATAGTAGTCAGTCATCAGGCTGCAGCATGAGACATAATATTATAAGATAAATTTAAATAAATAAAATTTTAAAATTAATAATATTTTTATGAATTTTAATTTTATATTTGTACTCAATTTAAACTTTAAAATTATTTTTTTGGAGGTTGAATTTGAAAAATAGTAAAATCGAACCGAATCGAAAACCGTAATTTTTATGTAATTCGGTTTCGTTTTCAATTTTTAAAAACTCTCAAAGTGTGGTTTGATTCATATTTTATTAAAAAACCTAACCGATTACACCCTTAGATACAATGTCTTAATTTAATTTATATACATGTTTTAATGGAATTGGTTACAAGAAATAAATAAATTAAAATAGAAAATATTTACAATAGATAGAAATTATACTATTTAGACTAAGATATTAGACTTTAATATAATCGGTATTTATACGTATTTATATAAATTTAAGCACGAAATGATTTCATATTAGTATAAGAAAAATGGTTAAATTCTTTAAATATAATGAATTAAGAGAGTTTCTTTACAATAATAATAGTAAATTTTTGTGTGTTTTTAACTTTTCTATATATTTTTTTTATGCTCTGTTATTCGACGTCCTATGTAGGGGTGTAAACGAGCCGAGTCGAGCTCGAGTATTGTTGAGCTCGACTCGGCTCGAAAACTCGCGAGCTTAAAATTTTCAAGCTCGACTCGAACTCAAAATCTTGAACTGAAGCTCGTGCGGAGCTCGAAATGAAAAAAAATTCTTAGACTTAACTCGATTGAAGCCTCAAATTCAAACTCGAACATAAATCTTAAATACATGAAATCTTACTGTATTTTTAAAAAAAAACAATACATAAATATTAATATTATTAATAATTTATTTTTAAAAAAATAAAATTTTAATATATTATATTTTCGAACTGCTCACGAGCTTTTCGAGTCGAATATCGAGTAGCTTGTTTCGGCTCGTTAAGAACTCGAGTCGAGCTCAAGATCGAGTCGAGTCCATTCGATCTGAGTATTTATTGAGTCTTGATCGAGTCGATCTCAAATAGCTCGCGATCTGTCTCGTCTCATTTACAGCCCTAGTTCTATGCCTAATATCATGAGATGCAATACTTGAAATCTGCTCGGCTGCTTGTGATTTTAATCAACACCTCTTTCGTGTTTGCTCGATCTTGTGGAGCATCGGAAGCAGCTCGAACATCTCGTCAGGCTAGTCCCGATCCCAGAAGCATAACCGGCACCACGGCTCGACCTAATCCGCATTGTCCGCTTCCCATGACACGCTTGGCCCATTCCACCAGGCATTCGTCGGCTGGTCGCGAGTTCCATCGCCAACACCTTGTGAGCGGGTAACTTCACCACCTTTTGAAAAGTTGTTTTTCCTTGTTTGCTTTAATGTCATTGAATCAAATAAATATTGTTTTATGAAGTGTTTGCAACACTTTGGCTCATGACCAATACAAATTGGAGCCTCTTTTTTCTGAAGATTAATACTGGTTTTTATCATTTTCTTTCCATGGTTTGAGCTAGTTTGTGGTCGAACCTTGTACTGAAGATTTTATTTGCATGGTTAATTGTTGATTCTGTATCAGGCGTCAAATCAGGGACATGGCAGGGTTTTCGGGGGCCTGTACAAATTCGTATAAAGGGGCCCTATTTTCTAGATATATTCGATTTCGGGGTAATAATAGTGGCGTTTTATTGACAAACGCCGCAATAAATCCATCTATAATGGCGTTTTATCAATAAAACCGCAATAATAGTGGCGTTTTTTGAAAAAACTTCGTAATAGATCCATATATAGTGACGTTTATTGGTAAAACGCCGCTATATATATATATTTTTTGGGCCCTTTTTTGGGGGACCTGCGCGGTCGCGCAGTTTGCGGCCCACCCCCCGCCACGGCCCTGCGTCAAATGCCCTTCCGTCCAATTTTGTTCATCATCACTAGGCTTCTTCCATGCATTTTTTTAACCAAATGTTGACCACTGCCTCTATTAATGCCAAATAATCCTTAATCCATGTCTGTAGCCATCTTTTAATGGAATCGGTTACAAGAAATAAATAAGTGGAAAAAAAGATTATTTACAATAGGCACAAATTACACTATTCAGACCAAGATATTATACTTAATATAATCGATACGAACCAATATAATTTTAAATATGAAATGATTCAATATAGTATAAGAAAAATGATTAAATTGTGTAAATAGGGTAAATTAAACCATTTCTCATTTAACTTTATTCTCTCTCTTATTTTACTCACTGAACTTTTAATTTTTTCAATTTACTCACTAAACTTTGACATTGTTCCTGTTTTGGTCACTCTTGCCGTTAAATAATTAACGGTATTATGACATGACACATGACATCAAAATGATGTCCTTTTAAAAAAAACTAAATATCTACCAAAACGACGTTGTTTTGCATCTATATAAAAATTCGGAATTTCCTTCATTTGCTTTCATTTTCCTTCTTTCTTTCTATTCTTCTTCTTTTTATTTCTTTCATTTTCTCTCAACGTGGTAGAATTTCGACCACCGTGTCGGCCACCATCGGTCGACATTGAAAGTGGCCAATAAGCCTCAACTTTTTCCATCAAGCTCGTTTTGTCCTCTTGAACGTAAATATAGTGCCCATTTAATCTAAAAATCACTTAAACTTCATGGATCTAGCATTGAATGTTTCGATTTTTTCTTAGATTCGCTGACGGTCACACTCTTCCACCGACGACAGGGGCCCATTGACGGCCTGGCGTCACAATCGACCCCCTTCATTTCTACCACCCTTCGTTCACCACCAACCCCTCTCAAGCAACTGAACATAAACTTTAAAGCCATGGTATGTAGTAGCTTTTGCTACATATTATTCTCCATAGGTGTAAAGGAAATGATTCAAATTCAAGGGTAAAAGGTAGTTTCATAAATCAAATCCACGATAGTTTTTTTTAAAGCTTAAACGCAGGTTAAAATGAGATAGACAATGACGGCGGGAGTTGGAATGTGAGGGTGAGGTGGGATTGTAATTTGGGATTAGAGTTTAAATTTAAAATTTTTTATTTTTATTTTAAATATTAGACATCATAATTAAATATTAATAAAAAAATATATCATCATTATATATTAATAAAAAGCCACATCATGCAACTATTTAAAAAAAAATTTGAGCAAAATAATTTAATATGTAAAATTTAAGAGCAAATTGAAGAAAAAAAAGTTCAGTGATTAAAATAAGAGAAAAACGGTGTAATTTACCCTAAATATAATGAATTAAGAAAGTTTCTTTACAAGAGGAATTACAATAATAATAGTAAAATTTTGTATGTTTTTAACTTTTCTATATATATATATATATATATATATATATATATATATATATATATATATATATATATATTATGCACCGTTTATTCGACGTCTAAGCCTAATATCATGAGATGCAGTACTTGAAATCTACCCGGCTGCTTGTGATTTTAATCAACATACCCAACACCTCTTTCATGTTTGGTCTATCTTGTGGAGCATCAGCTGAGCATCGGACCCCGATCCGAAGCAGCTCGAACATCTCATCAGCACCAACGGATAATCCCGATCCCAGAAGCATAACCGGCACCATGGCTCGACCTAATCCGCATCGTCCATTTCCCATGACACGCTTGGCCCATTCCACCAAGCATTCGTCGCCTCCGTCCACAGCTCGTCGGCCGGTCGCGAGTTCCATTGCCAACACCCCGTAACTGTACACATCGCCTTTTGTCGTAGCTTGCCATGTCTGCCCGTATTCCGGTGCTACATAACCGATAGTTCCCGCCACCATCGTGCTCACGTGACTATTGCCGTTATCGACGACTCTAGCGAGACCGAAGTCCGTGACTCGTGCCCTACCGTCTTTATCCAACAGGACATTGCTAGCCTTAACATCCCTGTGAACAATGGCTGGGTAGCATTCATGATGTAGGAACACTAATGCTCGTGCAATATCGACCGCAACGTCGATCCGTTTCCGCCATGTTAATCGGACTCGGTCCGTTATAAGATCTTCCAAGCTCCCACCTTCCATGTATTCATACACCAATGTTTTCTCTAATCCATGTAGGCACCAACCATAGAGTGTTACAAGATTAGGGTGCGGCCAACCAAAGCTATTGCCGCTTAGAACTTCCATTTCGGCCTTGAACTCCCTTTCGCCTTCTATTCCTTCTCTTTGTAGCTTTTTCACCGCTACTTCTCTTCCGTCCGGCAATACACCTCGGTACACCGTTCCGAACCCTCCTTTCCCGATAATCCTCTCGTCCGAGAAGTTACTTGTAGCCCTCAAAATGTCCGCGTGAGTGAAAGCTGTTTTGTCCAATTGGATGACCTTGATGGTGTCCGATGATCCGCCCGAGCTTGACGCTAGATCGTGTCGATTATACTTTGTATCATTCAGGAGATATCTCTGAGGTTCGGATCTCGAATTCACCATTCTGCATACCACAACCGATACGACCCCGAAAACGAAAGTGGTTAGTGCGAGAGCTACCAACACCATAAGCACAGCAAATCTGGCAGATCTATTCCGCCTTCCGTTATTGTCCGGTAGGTGAACTGTTCCATTGTCAATGAAATCCGGAACATCCAGTAGTGGATTTCCCAAGTATGAGTATCTCTCAAAGGTAGAGAATTGTCCGGTACTCGGAATTACCCCGGAAATGAGCCGATTGTACGATATGTTGAACTTGTTGAGATCAGTCAGGTTGCTGAAACTTGTTGGAAATATGCCAGAGAAGCTATTGTATGACAAATCAAGGTTCTGCAAGCATTTGACATTGCCAATCTCGGCCGGAATTTGTCCCGAAAACTCGTTCCGGGTGATATTCAGGACAACAAGAGGCAATTGACCAATCTGTGCAGGCAGTTCACCACTGAATTCATTGAATCCCAGGTGCAGCATACTGAAATTTTGCATCATACCAATATCGGAAGGGATCGGACCCGAAAACCGGTTGCTGCTAAGTTGAAGGTATCCCGAGATTTGAAATGTCCTGATCATCGAACCCGACGAGCACACCGGGAAAAGACCATAGCCTTTAAGCAACCGATCCCATGTGCTTCTGCAACTCTTCCTAGTGAGAATTGTATACACAAAACTGAAAGGCGGATAGTCTGCTGGTATCCATCTCCTCATTGCTGAGCACTCACCTGAACCGGCAATAATCCTTTCATTACGTCGACGATTCAACTCGAATGTTCGGGTAGCGTTTTGTCCAATCTTTGTCAACTCGGGAGGGATTCTTCCAGAAAGTTGATTGTTGGCAAGGTTCAACCATAACAAGCTACCGCAGTTTCCGATCTCCGGAGGTATCACGCCACTAAGAGAGTTGTTTGCAAGCATCAACCAGAAAAGAGAGCTCAATTTACCAAGCTCGGGCGGGATCGATCCCGAAAGCCGGTTGAAGGACAGATCAATAGTCTGTATATTTGGCAAGTTTCCATATTCAGGTGGTATGCTACCATTAAATTGATTGTGAGCCATCATCAAATAGTTCAAGCTTGGCATTTCAGATATTTCAACAGGCAATGGACCGGAGAAACAATTATTACTCAGGTCTAAACGAGAAATGTTTGGTAACGTTAGAATACCGGATGTATTGAACCCGCCGGTGTACGAATTTCCATGTAATAACAGAAACTTAACTGGTTTGAATCTCCCAAAAATCTTTTGAATCTCCCCACCAAATTTGTGATTGCTCAAGTCCAAGAACTCCAAATTCGTCAAGTTCAATAGCGATTCTGGGATCGAACTCGAAAAACTGTTGTTCCCCAAGAACAAGCCTTCGAGACTCGAAATTGATCCCAATTCGGGTGGAATGAACCCATTGAACTTGTTTCCACCTACATTCAAGATAGCCAAATCCTTGCAATTTGATATCTCCCCTGGAAGTTCACCATGAAAATTGTTTTCGGACAAGTCTAAATTCTGCAAACTACAATTACCTGCAAACATTGACCCCGAAACCGTCCCGGAAACGAAGTTTTCTGACACCGAAAACTCGACAAGCCTTCGAAATCCACCCCATAAGTGACCACCAAACTTGTTGGAACTCAAATCAAGATACTTGAGATCCAAGCATCCATCAAAATAGCTATCAATCTCACCAGTGAAGTTATTAGTTGAAAGGTTTGCAACAATCAGATTCTGGCAAATTCCCGGGAAGTTAACTCCTATATCACCGTGAAACCGGTTCACCGATAAATCGAGCATTTCCAAACAACTCAACCCTTTAAGCTCCAGCTTTCCATCAAGGATATTATGTGATAAGTTGAGGTGCACAAGGCCTTCACATCGACTCAAATCGTCCGGTACAGCTCCGCCGATGGTGTTCCTCGAAAGATCAAGGTGTCGAAGCTCTGTCAAAGCTGAGAAATTATTGAACATTTCACCAGAAATGTTGTTTCCAGACAGGTTTATACCGATGACCCTTTGTTGTTCGGAACAAGAGATTCCGGGCCACCGACACGGCGGAATCGAGTCATCGACATCCCATTCTGAATATCTTCCTCGATTTACTCGATTGTGTGCTTCCAGGAATCTTTTCAGATTCAGCAGAACTTGTCTGTCTGTTTCTAATGAATCTCCATTGACAACATCATCTGTGTCAATTAAACAAACACACATAATCAATGTCTCAAACATGTTATGTGACATAAAAGAAAATGGCAGTAATCCAACAGAATCATCCTGGGAAAACACAAACATACCTGAAACCGTAAGGATTAAGAATATGAACAAAGTGAAACGCCATGCAAGAGCTTGGTCTGTGATCTTCTTCTTCATGTTTTTTTTTTTTTTTGCAGCCAATGTTTTTAACGAGTTGCTTTAATCAGAGACCCATCAAATGAAAACATTTGAGGAAGAAGATAAATGAAGTTTGGAGTTAAATTAAGGCAAAAAAACAAAGCATTTGAAAGAATAAAAGTTGTAAACGTATTCGAAGAACTAAAAAGTCAGTTGAAGAACACAACGCCTACACTTAAAGACCAGAGACCAAAGCGAAGAAACGTTTGCCAACGGTATTTTTGTCAAAGGTTTTCTTTTGCTATTAGAGTAAACTACATAAATAGTCCCCTAACATTTAAACAGAATATATTTTGATCACTATACTTTTAAAACTTACAATTCATTTATTTAACTTTTACCCCCATCATGCAGTTAATTAACCAAAGCTTACACCCGAAGTGTATCAATGGTTCTGATATTTCCTATAAGACCTAATGAGCATGAATTCTGAAATTTTACAGATTTAAGGCTTAATGAACCTGAATTTAATGAGTTCGTGTAATTAGCATGTAATTAATTTGAAGAACATAGTAAGAAGAATCATTTATCAGAGATTTTCTCTTATGTATAAGAAAATTTCAAACAAAAAAAATTAATGGAAGCCATTTTTCCCTTAATATCAAAGTTAATAAAAGGAACGAGCAAAAAAGAAGAAGAAGAAGAAAATGTAAAGAACACATTTAGACTCATCTCGGATTATGAAGTTTGAGATTGTTCCAACTTAATCTAAAACTACTTTTTTTATTATCGTCACAACTAAGTACGTCTAACGGTGACGACGTAGGTGAAGAAGGTCGGTGGCAATGACTGAAATAAAAGTAAATTAAAATTTTAATCATTATATATAAATTTTAAAAATTTAGTGATCAAAATGTAAATACTCTAAAAGCTTGGAGACTATTTATATAATTTACCCAACATTAATAAAATATTAGTTTTAAACATGGTTTAATATGGTCATAGTCTTAGTATAAATCAGTTTGTTTCATGGAAAGTTCTTATTTTTTTAAAGTAGTGTTCGGCATATTTATGGAGTAAAATATTAATGTTTTGTAAATTCATTTTTTTTAAATTAAATATTTTGAGACTGAATTCATGGTTTTAAATTAAAAATTTTAGAATTGATTTAGATCAAACTTGTACTTTATAATTAATTTTATAATTTCAAACTTATACGACTTATAACACATTAATTGTTTCTTTATATTTTATATATATTTATGATCTGATTCAGGATTAGTTACGTATTTATGGTATACTCTTTTTCCTTTACATGGTGTAGAAAGATTTTTTAACCAGATTTATGGTTACATTCCATTTTGTACGATTAATAAATCTGTACACCAACGAAGGTTGGCCTGAGTGGAAGGGACTTAGGTCACTTAAGCAAGTGGTCTTAAGTTCAAGTCCTTGTGGATACATAAAACCTTCTTGGGAGAGGTCTCTACCTTTTGAGCCCGACAGTACCTCTGAGGATTAGTCTCAGGCGAAAAATAAATCCGTACAAAACTCCTCTTTTAAAAAAACTAGATTTTTTTTATAAAAATTTATATTGTACATTTTATTTAACATTGTAGAAATAACATAATATAAATAATATTTAATATGTTTGGACATATCAATTGCAATCGAGTAGTTTTTTAAATCATATTTAAATATTAAAATTTTAAATAACTTTAAATATAAAGTATAAGAACTATATTGGACAAAATTTTTAGAATAATGGTTTAAAAAAAATTGTTCAAATAACGGTAAATCGCATTGGGAACCATGCGACTTAGGGTAAGTCGCACTGTAGTTGTACATTTTAGGGTGACCTCGGCTCTATGGGAATAAAAAATAAAAAGTTTTGAAGGTAAACAGGGGGAGCTAAAGGTCGTCGGGACTGTATGGCGACTTCGATTGAACTGTAGTAAATTTCTTATAGTAGCAAATAATTTTAGTTCATTGTATTCAATAATTTTTTTCAAACCACAACAATAACAATAAAACCCTATTTTTATATGCAATGGGATAAGGGGGAGGTAGGGTAGTAGGTTGTCCCCAACGCCAGGTTGAGAGCAGTTTCCGTGGAAGACCTCCGACAGTAAAAAAAATTAAAAATAAAGATAAAATACAATACATGTTTAAATAAATAAATAAAATACGTATGTGAACAATCTTCATATGCAGTCTCATATGCACGTCTGTAATGAGAAGTAATCCCTACAAATAAACCCATGCGTAAAAATAACTGCATATAGACAGAAACGTAAGACCCGACCAAAATTATAAAGAGGAAACATGAAGAGCAGAATATACAGAATTCAACGATAGCAGGCTTCGAGAAGGGATAAAGTCAAATGGGTTAAAACCTAAAACTAAGGCAACACTACTCCGCTACCTTAAGATATATAGACGTTGTGAGTAGAAATTTGGGATAAATGTAATGCTTTTGTACGAACTGGGGAGTTCAATCAGTCGATTTGGTTAATCGACTGAACTGATTTTTTAAAATTTTATTAACCAATTTTTTCTCTCTTTAATCGTTAATTGAACTGAAGTTTTTTAAAAATAATTAATTGAATAACCGAAACTTATAAATAATATATATTATATACTAAATATTTTATATTTTTGGTTAATTCGATTAATTCGGTCGGTTAATTTGGTTAAAACCGAAATCTAAACACTCTTAAGGCTAAGTAGTATATAAATAATATATACAATATTTTAAATATTTAATAGTTCGATTAACCTACCGATTTCAAACTGAATTAACTGATAATCGAAGTTTGAAAAAAATCGTTAACCGTTAATCAATCGAATCTAAAATTAACCAACCGATTAATCAAAAAAAAATTTGATTCGATCAATTAAATCGATTTTAACCAAAGTTTGAACATCCTTACTAAATACAACCTCTAGGGACGAACTTTTGAAGCCGATGTGCCTAATTCTAATAAATTTTCCTCAATAATCACATTTTCTTCAATTTATAATTCTTGCATTCCCGAAGGTTTCAAAAGTTTTGATTTCTCAATGTCTTACAATAATTCAGAAATCTTATAACGACGAAATTCATCGAATTAGCCCCCAATATTTTTCATGAGATTTAGAGATTGTAGTGTTAGGTTAAATCGGTATTTAATTAACTCAATTCTATATAAGAAGTACATTTCTTTCATTCAGATTTGATTAGAGTTTAGGAATCTCATCTAATCTTAAATTTAATTCAAATTTTAAGATAAAAAATTATATATAATTCTACTCAATATAAATATATGAAAAATCCTTATTTATCCTCGATTCAAATCTGGTCCGGCTTGAACTTACTTTTTTTAAAATGACTCTATAGTGTTTGATGATGTTAGAACCTATTAAATTTGAATTAAATTCAATGAAAATACATTTTTATATAAATACTATTATCTAATTCATTAATTGACTATTCTAAATCAAATATTATAGAGTCAACTTATTATAATATCAAATTTCTAAAATTATAGTTTTCGGAAGAAAATTGATTTTTTTCCACGAAACCTTCATTGCTTTCCAAGGATATTATTTTTTTGGGTAAATTATATTTTTAGCATTTAAACTATCGGTTTTGATTTGTTTCAGTACTTAAACTTTTAATTTTTTCAAAATTAAACCTAATATTTAGTTTTTGTTTCATTTTAATTATCTGCTGTTAAAAACTTAACGCGTTTAATATCTAAATTATCAGTTTTTATATATTTTAGTACATAAACTTTTAATTTTTTTTTAAAACATAACGTTAAGTTTTAACAAGTATACTAGAATGAAATAAAAATTAAAATTTAAATATGATTTTAAAAAAATTAAAAGTTTAAATATTAAAAATGACTAAAATTGATAGTTTATGTATTAAATACATAAATTTATATGTGTGTGTGTGAATTTTCCTAGAAATTACCAACCAACGAAAACAGTGACACTTTCCAAATTTTCTTTGTGAAAGTAATGATTTTAGGCTAATAATATTTTAGAAAAGAATATCGAACTGTCTTTCTTATGGGTTCGTCGACTCGTGAGTTCAATGGTCAAATGGCTTGAGCATACATGAACCCACAGTCAACTTGGGCGGCTCATCGCCTCTTTTGTTTCAACTGCCTCGTTTTTTCGTTTCACGTGCTTTAAAAATGGAATTAATTGTTATAATACGTACACGTATAAATAAAACTAAATATGATATGTCCTAACTCTTTATTTTTATGATAACTTTTTTTTCATGTTGTTATATAGAGAGGACTAGAATCTAATTATATAGTGTAACTTTTTTAAATTTTATATCTTTTTAGGATCATTAGATAAGAAAAAAATTAAAGATTGAGATTAACAGTGGAAAATGTGAAGATATTCACTAGAAGAAAAAAACAAAGAGTTAATATCAACCTTTAATTTTCCCCATCCAACGGTATCAAAAAGGTGTAAAACTAAAAGTTTTACATCATATGTAAATAGATCCTAACTTATATCTGTGTGTGAGAGAGTTAATCTCAGTCGTATATTTTAGTTCATCTGATGGTCTCAAATCTGTGTAAAACAAAAGAGTTTTACATTATATATATTAGGATCCTATTACACAATGTAAAACTCTTTTAGTTTTATACAGATTTAGGGTCGTTTGATTAATGAAAATAGACGTCTGAGATTGACAGTAGGAAATGAGAAGATATTCACTGAAAAAAAAAATAAGAAGTTAATCTCATCCATCTATTTTCACTCATCAAGCACTTCTAAATATATATAAAACTAAAAAATTTTACGTTGTGTAAGTGAATTCTAACTTTTATATATATATATATATTAATTGAAAAAAATTGATGGTTTTGTCTATTTTTGTAGTATGTTCTCTATTTATTCTTATAATTATCTTGTTTATTTATCTTTGTTTTGGACATTACTCCTCCTATATTAATAGACGCTCGAATTCACAAAAGATATAGAGTAACTGAGTTATGGTAAAAATCATATCATCAATATAATATTATTGTTATAAGTAATTTTTATGGTAATTAATGTTAACGGTGTTCATCTTTCACTGTCGATATTATTATTTACTTGTATATATTATTTTTTCGAGTTGTTTATATTTTTAATTAACTATTTTTATTTTTTAATTTAAAGACTGATTTATAATTTTAGAAGGATGATAAATTAATATGATTTATTCTCTTTTAATTTATTTAAAATG